CATTTTGCGGTACATTGTGTTCTTACAAATTCATATACAGTTCTTGCTGTCCTTAAAAACAAAGTAACTACTGAAATAATGCAGTATTGTACATTGTAAATCAAATTTTAACAAATTTTATAATATATTAAATATATTTGACAGTTTCTGTATCTTAGTAATTTATTTGACCTTTGTATCGAACTTGCATTTTATTGAATCCAACTCTGACACAATGTTCTCTGCACTTTACAAGGTCTCAAATAAATAATCATTCGTGATATGAAAGAAGTCATTTGTCACATATACGAATAATGACACTTGTTAAACGAAACGAGACACTTTTGTAATCCAAAGTATCACATGATTGCAATTTTATTTTCTCAATAACTATTCGTTTCAATTTTAAACCCTAATGACGTCACTGGCGGTACATGTTCTAATTATCTTTATTAAGTGGAATTAATAACCGTCTTTGCGATACTAAAAGCCGACTTCATTTTTCTTAAAATCTCATCCTCTCATCTGTTCCTCTTTTTGAGAATTTCAAACTGAATCTATAATCGAATCGACTATTTTGATTCAAATGCAATACAATTCAACATTTCAAATGCTATATATATGAATGATATATTCAATTGAAAGAGACTTCATTTTTGAATATTAAATGAGACAAATAAACAATGTCAAAATAAATCAGGGCACAAATACATAACATTTTCTTTATATGCATTATGGAAGAGATTCATTTTTTTGTGATTCATGTCTCAGTCATTGACCCCCTTTCTTTTCTTTCTTCGTCTTGTGCTTAATCTTAGTCTCTTCGCCTATCAGCATAATATACCGCATTATGCTGATGTTAACTCGAGATTTAAGACAAAAGAGGCGCCACTTGAATATCTACGTAAAGAAATAACAACTTTACATACCCAATATCCAACAAGTAGTACTCTATAAAAATTAAAAAAAAACATTCAATTTGAAACTTTCAAACAATTTATTATTTGAAATTCAATACTTTGTTGACGAACGTTATAAATTTATGCTTTTTTAATCAGTTATATGTTAGCTATGTTTCTAAAAGAAAAAAACAGACATTAGATATATAGCAAAAAATGCAAACTATTGCGATCGCAATACCGGATAACGCGCATTCCTTTTCCGTTTAATAAATGCAAAAGTCACATACTGTATACACTGTAGCCGTGTGCAAAATGCATTTTATTGTTGCTTCAGTGTCGATTATATAGAATGCGTCCACGTTTTGCTTATGTTCATAACATTGTCTAAGAACGATGCTCTCGATTATGCCATATTTCCAGGGAATTATGTGTTGAGTATGCAACCTAATTCCTCAAAGTTTACTTTTATTTACATTATAACGACGAATGAAAAAAAGTTGTACAAATATTTATTTCATATACTTGACAAATACTTCTAGAACTGAAAATTAGGAATTTTAATTTAAAACTTCTTTTTTTATATTTGATGTTGCAAAAAATGTTCAAATTTGAAAACTTAGTATTTTCATCATTTGTTACGTGAATGTGACTTTTACGGTTTTAGTTTCGAAATTTACGTTCAATTAAAAAAAGATTTAAAAAAGAAGCATATTTCACTTTATAGTTTTATTTAGAGCTATATATGAATATATATAGTTATAAGGTACATAAATGTACCGGAGGAGTAATCAAATCAAAACACGTCATGTGTTGTATTTTCTTGTGATTGATTGAATTTTTAAATTGTATTACTGTCTTACAGCTCATTTATTGATAACCCATCAACATAAAAGTAAGCGTATTAAATTGGCGCCAAGTTTGTATGAATCTGGAGCGAGGGTGACGCTATACAGGCACAACACAGCTCTACTATTTGAATACTTGAGAGGCAAATAAGTGTGTCCATCAGAAGCCATAAAATTTGCAATTTACGATTTGCAATCTCAAGTATCATAGTGACAAATCACTTGTATATGAGAAACAAAAGTGATTGGCCGAAAGACGGGTTTTTAGAATCTATTTTTGATCGCGGAAATTTATATCTTCTACTAATACATATTAATAGTCGAAATAATCCCACTTCTTTTATTGCTAGCGCGAGTAGATTTTATTTGCTATTTTGATCAGCCAATTAGATATTGTTACGAATTTTAAAACCAGGACTCGCTTTTTTTAGATTCTTTCAGTTTTATTTAAAATTTAAAATAGAAATAATAACTATGCTTTTCTTTTTCTTGCAGGTAAGTTCGCATCCTTTCCACAACATCGTGAGTATTAAAACTCTCTTAAATTGATTGAATTATTAGATAAAGTTAAATTTATCATCCCCAAAGTTTCATTTCATAAAGAAACTTTGATTTCGGTATCTTGCTCTCTGATGTTAATGACATAATTTCCATGGGGAGTATGTATTGACTAAAGATGCGAAATTGAGTCAACCTTAATTAATTTAGCTATGATGGACCAACACTACCGAGGAAAGCACATGTATATATGTATGCATACCACTAACTAACCAACAATATATTTTGAATGCGTTGCGCAGAGTGCATGCATCCTCGCGTGGGTTGCTATTGGCAACCATAACCAACACAATCCAGCATCAGCAAGGCACCCCCACCCCTTTCCCTTGCGGAAAGAGAGGGGTACCTTCGTGTGCCTTTCTCAATCTATATGTATTGAAAATATTCCGGGTGTGTTTGTGTGTGCATTAAAAAGGACAATAGAAATTACTCTTTTAAGTTATCGAAATATCTCCCTAATAACTTTTAGTAGACTCGCTTTTAGAGGAAAAATGTCAAAGTTTTTAGTGTTCAAACAAAACCATACGACGTAGAGTCAATAAAAATCAAAATAGGTCCAAAGGGATTTAGATAATATCTTTTTCATACTTCTACATGTTACAATAGCCCCAATTTTTATTAAATTTATCATGCTTACTACAAAATTATACGAAAATAAGGCTTAGGAAAAAAAATTAATAGGTAAACTTATTTGTATACTGAAAAAGTTTATTTGATTCATGTAAATATTTAATTGATGATAGTCAAGTAATCGATTATTTAATTCAAACAAATTTTTTCAGTGTGAATCTATTCCACAGAAATTTGTAAGTGAAAATTCATTATTTTAATTAAAATTGCTTAGCAATGAAAATTTAAAAAGTTGATTTGATTTTAAAGGCTTTGTAATTTTGCAACAAACGTTGGTGCAATCAATTGTAATGGAAATTTTACAAATTTTATTCACTTGACTTAATTTAAATTCGAAATTATGTAGTTTACATCAAGTGTCAAATACAAGCGCAATTTTTTTTTTTTCAAAAATTGCATAGCGAAAAAAGTATCTGAGTCGCTTTGTAAAAAAATACGCCTTTACTGTTACATTTTATTTTATTTTTTTTACTGTTATCTCAAAACTGGTTTTCAATCATTGTCTCTTTCATACTTTTCTCGACCATTTTCTTTTCATATTTCTAATTGTCTTCTTTCTTTGATATTTAATCTTTGTAGTTATATTAATTTTTCAAGTTTTAAAGAAATGGCTTTTGATGACTTCCTTCATGTACAGTTAGATTTTTAAAGTATTAAAGTATTTTTTTATTTCAATTCAGTTTCAACAGCTTAATTCCCTCGTTATCGAAATGGTATATAGGAATTAGAGCTAGTAGTTGTAATTGTGTAGTACTGCTCTGAAAGAATCGTCCCTGAACTCATGCTGATTGTATACAAGAAAGAGTGGGGAGCCTCTGTGGTAGGAGTTTTAGGGGAATTGAGGGGAAGTCAGATGGATAAAGAGAGAGAAATATTCTTTCCCAGGGCTGTATCAATTATTTTTCGTTTCATCTAAAAAATTCAGAATTACTTTTGCAATAAATTGTTTACTATGACATTTTTTCTGCAGATATCAAATTGAGACAAAAAACATATCAAAATACTTGCAATTAATGCTTTTAAATTTATTTAAATGTAGGTGACAGCTAAATTTATTGAAAATATCTCTATCTATATGAAAAAGGCTACAGCGATAAATTTCTCTAAAGTAGCAAAAATTTTAACTGTAGCGACTAAAACTTGGCTAGAGTAGTAATTAGTAAAATCTGTACCTGTTCCATTTTAAATTTTTTTTCGTGAATAATGAGAAAATTTATTACACTCCAAGTTTTAAGTATGTTAAATGGAGAAAAATATAAAGTAACTTTTACTACTTTCGTAGTAAAACCTGAACTGACAGAAATTTCTGCGCATTTTTGGTAACTTTTACTACTTTCGGAGTAAATTTTGCTACGTTCGAATAGTAAATTTTACTACGTTTAAAGAACATATTTGTAAGAATTAGTAAAATTTACTTCGAAAGTAATCAAAGCTACTAGAAATGATTTACTATAAAAGTAGTAAAAGTTTTTTTTTCTTCGTGCAGCAATAAATTTATAGTGGATTTTTTATTTTCAAGTACCGTTTACTTCCGATTCTAAGCAACTGCGAGGGTGTGACACAAGCCTTAGATCTAAGCCCATTGGAGAGGGATTACCCTCTAAGGAACCCGGAAGTGCATCCGGCAGTAAAAAAGTCTCTTGATAGACGAAATTCGCATCTTATCAACGATACATTTTTTGCATGTAAACGAAACTGAGTTTTTTATTTAAAAATTGAAAAATTCAAAAATTCAAAAATTTAGGAAAAGGAATAAATAATTTTTATGTATCCTATTTGTTTCTGCTCTTTCTCAAAAGTAGGGATACCTAACAAAAAATATAGTTTGTTTGAAAGATTTGAAAAAAAAATTTGCAAAAATGTTTTTAATTTTGTCTTTGATTCGAAATACATATTACGCCCCCGCATGCTTCTGTCTCTGTCTCACTCATTCTATCTTATTCCCCTTCTCTCCTCTTTTTCCCCTCTGCTTCATAACTATTTCCTCTTCTCTTCACGTGTGGCTCTTTCTCTTTTTAGCTGGCTTTTTCCCCCTAAAACTCGTGCTGTCTCATTCTCCCCGCATTGGTACACTGCTTTCCGGCCGGCTTCTATATTCTCCACATTGCTTCCTTGGCATTCTCCAACTGCACGCAGACTGCACTACAGTCTCGCGGCGTGAAAAACTACTCTTTTCTTTTAATTCTTTTAACATACCTCGAATGTGTACTCGCATTTTAAATTCAAGCTAAATTCAGAACAAGTACGACTGTTGTAGTGATCGTGACATTGGTGAAAATTGAATGCCAGTGTGTCCCTGACAGGTATTGCTTTCTCATGTCAATCTTTTTTTTAAGAGTGCAGAGGCAAAGTGTCATGTGAGGAAGGTAGTTTCAGTCTGTTAAAGCAGTGAATAGAAAAATTGATAACTACTGTAAATTCAAGTGAAAAAGTGTAGTGTAGTTTCGTAACTATCTTAGTTAAAAAAATTAATAATTCAATAAAGTTTGACGATTCAAGAAATGTCTCAGTTATCAGATGAGGGGATCTCGTTAATGGCAATGGCCGCGTGATCTGCAAATCCTAAACGAGGAGATAAGTCCTCGAAAGTGTACGAAAACGTCCTCTACGTGATCTGAAAATCTCTTTTGAGATTGTAGTAATATAGGATGGAGTGGCTGAAACGACAAGATGTCAAGGAAGACAATGACGAATGTTTTTTTGAGGAAGAATGTTCCATAGATGAAAACGTGGTACGTTATATACATTTCGATATTTTTCTTCAGTATCATGTATCGGAAAATCATTTCAAAGGTCAATGGCCAACATGTAGAATGCAGCATACTCACTTGGCTCTACAATTGTGCTACACTTGCGAATTTTTTATCCCTTCTGCAAAAAAAACCTACTTTTACCGAGTAGTCAATTCTTTTTTTATAATTGAATATGAAACACACGTGTCTTCAGTGTCCTCGAAAAACAGGACACTATTGATTATCAATTCCATTCGTGTACGCAACTCAAGTTTCTGTTATTTCGAATGGTCATCGTCCCCCCCCCCCCCCCCCGCTGATTCATATTTCGTAAATGTTGTAACATATATTTATGTAAATTGAAAATGCACACACATTTTAAGAATTGCAAATAATTCCTTTTTAAAAAAAAGAGTTTTTGTCTTGTCTGTTCACACGAAAGCTGATCTTTTTTGAGAATCTTGAAAGAACCTTTCATTAACAAGTAACTCTCCCATCATCCTCTTCGCCCCCTTTTCTTAATACCGCGGTTGTAAGCTTTGAAGATTCTTAAGTCTCATTGCGTGTTTTACTTTGGGATGCTGCGGGATTATTATTCTTTTTTGAAACTGGCGTTCGATGTTATTTTTAAGACACCAGATATTGCCTACTGGAATAAAATCCTTCTCTATATCCAGAACATTCGCCATTCAATTGTAAGCGCACGATTAAGAGTTAATAACATATAAGCTCTTACTCAATCGGAAAGGGATCAATACCTTTTGACCTTTAGTGACTAAATTTTGCAATTATATCTTGACGATTTCACTGCTTATGGCCTGAAACGTGCTCGAGTTTATATGTATATTATATACGTGAGCGTTTGCATTATTCTGGACTATTATTTTGGAAGTGGTTTCTTGAATTACCCTTAAGGTATACATTGTCCAATGCAGGCACGCATGCTCATGAAACACACACGTGTATAAACAGTAATGCAAGCATTAGGAAATTGATTCAGTTATACAATTCACTTATACGTTGAATTGTTTTCCCTCCAGTCAATATTTGTCAAATTAAATTACAATGTACAACTAGATTTATATTCTAAAAAGCTAAATTTTTTACATTCTAAATTGATAAAATTACACAATTGCAAAAAAAAAATCCAATATTGGTTTTTTGCGGTTGAGAGATGAAAATGAAATTTCCAGATAAAAATACTCTTTAAAATCCTTAGAAAACGTGACAACGTCGCAGCGTCTAGCAGTAGATGATTCAACGTGGCAGCTGCTTAGTTTTAGGCGCCTCCCAAACAAGGTTTCCTCGGTTTGTTCTAAATTAAACCAGAGTCTTAATTATCTGATTTTGAAACCCTCTTAAAAAATTATAACAAATTGCAATTTAATATTTTTTTTCTCTTTTCAAAAACTATTTTATTGGTAATTAAATTTTTTTTGTCATTTGCATTCAAGTGTTTATTGGAAAAAAATGTCTAATAAAAAGTTTTATGACTTTCTGATTGATATGATACAATCTGGACACCCAGTATTGTTACAATTGGAGAGAAGCTGCCGCAGCGAGAAAGGGAGAGCAAAACCACCCCCCGCAGGGGATGAAGTATGACTCATCCGTGCTTCCCCTCTTGGAAGCTTTTGGTGCCAGGAGAGTTTGTCGACTCCCAGCTTTGACGAACACGAAAAAAGGGATTGTGAATTATCATAATTCGATTCGACGAGACTCACGAGAGAACTGGTCTGCTTCAGGTGTCAATCTAAAATTGTGTGTGTACACACACCCTTCAGGATTACCTGAAGTCAAATTATCAGTCTCTAGAAGAGAATCGATAAATTGTGGGGACTAATCTTCACCTATGACTCATTCTGGGCGAAACCCTAAAATTTGCATCAATTTTTTTGCTCGATCTAATGATACCTATCAGACTTTTTAATTATAATAAAACATTTTAAGCAAATACTTAATTGGTTTTTTCGCCGTGTAATTTTTTCCTACATTTAGAAGCACGTGAAGTGTAAAAGAATTGCATATATACCGAGAATGGAATTACTCTCGTTATTTTTTCTTCAAGTTCTCATTAGTCCTTTAAGGACTAAAGCAATCGTATAATGATGAGACAAAATGTTTTCTAATTACAGAATAAAATTCAAAAATAAAACCTTTCCAACTCTAATTTTTGAACATGTGTATAATTTTAAGAAAACATCATTTAAAGAGGGAATTTTTGTATAAATTTTATTAGTGTGAATTAAAAGTATAGTGGTTAGTGAGCAACACAGGCTCGAGACAAGTTGTTTTCTGCAAAAAGATGTTTCGCCGCGTGGGTGAAGGGTTATTATAGCCTGGCGCCAGGCGTATTCGAATAATCCTTTGTCAAGGACTTGTACCACCGAGAATTACGTACTCTTTTTAAACTTGTGAAAAAAATGCAGATATAATCCTCTTAAATTATATCCATTATTTTTTCAAACATACAAATTTTGTTATTCACAAAAGTTGAGAGAAAAATTTATAAAATTTATTATTTGCATTGTAATGAAAATTTAAGAAATTTACAATTTGCCACTGAACGTACAAGTTGTGAATGATACAATGACCTACATTAATGACAAGAACTGACTCTCTTTGGTCGTAGAATGTCTAATATCCTTTCCCTTTGACGTCAGACCAGAAGTATAGTTATACATATAGTATGAATCATCGTATATTTCTCATGAGGGAATTCCTTAGAAAGAACATATGATTTAACGCCTTGAAATCGAAATGTCGGAGAAAATATCATGGTGCTACTCAAGGAGAGTACAGTTATAAAAACGAAATAACTGACGAGACATTTTTTTTGTAACATATTACATAACGAGTGTTTAGCAAAGTTCCAAGGGTCTGATTAGAAGACCATAGGGACTCATCGTGGAATGTCATTTTTCATGAGGGCTAGACTCTCGTGGTCCCCCGAGGTGAAAACGGGGGACCACACCACGACAAAGAAGGGACCCCACCAGTACAGGTCTTAGACTTATTTTATTCAAATGAGAAACTTTACTTTTTACCTTCTTTTCGTTCAATAGCGACGAGCTCAAAAGTGCCGCTGAATTTTTATTAGCAGGTTCGTGGAAGATGTGCCACCGTCGATGCTTTTTTGCCAAGTAAATCTATTCTCAAGTTGTCGATACACTTAATACATACACTTAATGAAAAAAGATTGTCTTTCTTTCTTCAGTTATATCAATTGTCTTCAATTATGACATTATGTTAAATTAAGAAGAATATTTAAAAATAAGTTTGTAATATTCGTCTTGTAAAAAGAGTTTCGTCTGTCCTCTTATTGTCCTTTTCATATTCTCAATGTCATTGTAAGCGTTCATCACTTCTGCCCATAATGATTACACGACGTGAGGAAAAAAACAACTTTTATGTGTAGTAAATTTCAAAATTTAAAAGAGAAAGTTTTTAAAGTTTTACTCCTTTTTTAAGAACCTAAAAGGGAAAATTTAATTTTAAAAAGAAGGTTTATCGTTGAGCTCTGAAAAATTGAATAATATTCAAGCGCACTTTTACAAAATAGGGTTGTAAACATGGTATTAAAACCAAAAGTGAGGAAATTAATCCCATGTTCATACGGACAATGGCTTCACACTTATTGTTTGATCATAAAAGTAGGTCATGCACTCTTCACGTGTAAGAATTTAATCCGCAGATGTCGAGCAGCTGCCGTAAAAATTGAGACCGCTTTGGCGATTGAACGCTTCCGAGCAAAGGATGCGAATACTTGTGATTTGTTGGTCCAGCAGAAAAGCAGCAGCTGGCGTTTAGTTTTGAGGACCCATCAGAGGATCCTGAAGTAAGTGGGTGGTGCTCTAGTGCATATTTGAAAAAGGTCATCAAATGAACGGTTTCAAATGAACGGGGGTGAAATTTGAATCTCCAAAAACGACGCGTGCCATAACAAGACCGGAACGAACTCAAAATTCCCATTTAATGATGAGTTTTTCTAGTTTTTAAATATATTTCTCCTTTGGAAAAAAGGATAATTTAAAACATTTTTTTCTATTTTCGAAAATATTTTTATTCTCGTACATACGAGAGTTTGAAAATTATGGAATTTTCTAATACTATGTCTGACGTTAGAAAATTTAACGGGGATTAGTAGACACATGTCATACCTGATATTGTGATATAATGAAAGGGTGGGTCAGATGGGATTACTATTGATGTACATATATGCACATCAAACTCTCACATCATTTACTATGACGTGATGTGGTTTAAGATTTTCTTTTATTATACACTGCTTAAGTGCATCAAGAGAAACGTCCATCAACAATTCAAATACGAGAGATCCTCATTATAAAACACAAGCTTCGTTAAAATACAAATTGGTGATTTAAAATATTGTGTTTTTCAGAATAAAAAAAGTAATTAAATCAGTAGTTAATTTTTGGTGTTTTCAAATTGTTTGCACTTTGTAAGTATTCTCGAAATATTACCAATTCAAATATGGCGAGTAAATTTGTTTAGAGTTGGGTAAATTTAGTCGCAGTTTAACTTGTAAATCCCTCTGTTACACTTTTGTAAAAGCTTCTCCTCTTGTATCGATTAAACACCCTCTGCGAATACGGAATTATCTATCCTCTGTCGGTACATTTACCCTTACACTTGTTAACAATTTAGCATTTTTTTAGTAGACTTTTGTATGAATAACAGATAACCTCGGGTAATGTGAGAATAAATTGAATGGCACTGAAGAATATGTATTTTTCAGACGTTTCGATTTTGAAAAAGTGACTACCGGAAATTTCATGAATTATATGCATGGCGGCACGATGCGTGGCTACGCATAAATTCTCAAATGGTACATGACCCTTTTGTTGACGCTCCTCACATTCACGAACATCCCCCAACGTGTTTCTATTCAGTGTCGAACATCACTAAATTTTCACCTGCATGCGCCAGTAGTGCATTTTATTTGTATAAAGTTGTTGATTTTCGTTTTAAAATATCCTCGCGGCAGAATTTTAAGTGTGAAATAGGTATACTCTAAGCCCCATGAATAATTTTTATCGCAATGATGTATTAACAAATATTTGTTTTTATTTTCATCATTATAAGTTGAACACAAAATTATCTCTTTGATAACATTATGCATTTCTATGAATTTTATTATCAGTTTACAAGAAATTTTATCTCTCTTTTCTGAGAGATTTTTTATTCAAATTTAAAGAAGCATGCAAGATATAAAAAGTTTCATTATAATAACACCTTTTTTCGAAATAAAAAATGTAGAGATCAAATATGTTTAATGGGCCCTTGTTAATTTCAAAAGTAGTTTATAATTAGTTTCAGTTTATGTCTTTAAGTCTCACAACGATACGGTTGTTACGTTTATAAGAAAAAAAACTTTTTGTTAAAAACCCCATACATAATTATATATATACCGAAAGCTATGTCAATGTCTACAGCAGTAGTTATATATTTCTTGAAGCAAAAGGGACGATTATTGATTTTAGGAAAGGAGAATACATTTCGAGAATGAGAAGTGAAACTTTATTCTCGAGAAATGAAAGGGCGTGTAGTAATTAATTTTATAAATAGTAATGTTTATATTTATACCCGAACAGCACGGAATATTTCTCTCACAGAAAATTGTGAAGTAGTATTTTAACACTAAAATGGATTATTTTTTCATAATTCTTACGCGCATGTTTTGGTTTTGATCTATAAAGAGACACATTTTGGCCATAGAAAAATTTATCCAAAGGTGGATTATTTTGATCTTTTTAAAGTGTAAATTTAAGCTTTTTAATTTACTGTGCCATAATATTTCATCCACATTTTAGGAATAGTGAATTCTGACCTTTGGAATAACACCCTTTCTATGAGGAATTTTAAATTAATTATCAACTTATTTTCTTACCTTAAAATTGGGAAGACATTGTAACAAACGATTCAACAGACAAAAAAGACCTGAAACAAAGAAAAAGTATCGTAATTAACATTCAGTTTTAGATATAGATTAAAATATCATAAAATATTTTGATACATAATTTCAATTAATTGACGGTTATAATATAACTTTACAAAAAAAAAAGTATTTCGACTTCTATAACGGCATTTTATAAAAGTTGCACCTTTCGGAGTTGAAACAAAGGGTTATTGTTATTTGGGGCAATTAAAAAATGTATTAAATGTGAACAAGCGCTTCTATTTGTAATGCGCTAATTGAAAAATTAATAGGCACGACCTGAGGGAAAAATAATGCAGTTGAGAGTGGGTCAGGTTGACCAGCAACTAACTATACTGTTACGCTCCTTGTTCATAGTGTAACATATAGTCTGATGAGTGAAATGTACCCTTGTACTCTTCGTGGGTGGTTGCACCCTCCGAACTGTTGAAGAAGAATAAGGTTTCCTCCCTTTGTAGTGGAGTACGTGACGACATAGTCATTCATTTTTCACTTTTTATATGCTCATTGAATTGAGCTTTTACGATCAAGTAAGTGGAAAATAGGGAGGTATTTTATGAGCTCCTGCTTTAATCGAAGAAAAAGAAAATAGGGAGAAAAACATACATAGGGGGTAAGATTACAGATGTTGTTACAGATCAAGGGCAAAAGTATCCAGTTTCTTCATTTTCTTCTAGAGATGGATTTTTATTTTTATGTCAAAGTATTTAAAAAACAAAATTTTTATTCATTTTTTCAAGATTTTGTTTATATTTTTATTTTATTGCTTCCTCATAGAGGAAGCATTGGATTGGTGGAAATTTTCGATAGGATTTTTTTGACACATTTTCCATTATAGAGGTTCAAATCAAATACAAATCTTGGTTTTACATATGTTCAGTTACGGATGAGTGCAGCGAGGATTGGCCTAAAGCTAATCATACCGCTAAGAATATCTCCAGGAGTCGTCGCTCTAACGCATTCAGTGTCCATGAAGACCACTCTGATAAATTTAGACCCTATTTTCACCGTTCATTTTCGCCCCTCACTCACCACCTCCCGTGGACACCCTCATTCGAATAATCCCTAAGAAACTCAGCCATGATTCTGCCGCATATTTACTGTGACGGATCTCCCTGCCCTCTCCACGCGTCGACACGAATCCACCGTGACGTAAATAGAAATGTTTTTCTTTCAAAAATCAATTCAAATACATTAAACTCCATGATATATATACATAGTTGTGTGACAGGTGGACGCTTTTTTCAAAATCTCTTCTTCATCTCTTTACCGAATTTATTTTCTTTTTTCGAAAATTATCAATCGATAATTTTTTGAATTTATATTATAAATTTATAAAGAGAAAATATTATTAAAAATATCCAAATAATTAGAGATCTTTTGCCTCACTCTGGTATATACTGGAGAGATTTATACTCAGAGAGACAGGAAGTAAAGACAGATATTTTTGTGTGATTTATTTCCTGGTGAGCGAGCGTGTTGGAATACTTTATCTTGAATTCATTATTGAAAAAACTTACTTATTCATCTCATAGAATTTTATTTGGTCGGAAATAGAATTTTTGTAATATGAAAAGGAAGACATTTCGAAATCTTCAATATAATGAAGTTCCATGGATAAGAAAGAGATGAAGATTCTGTTAGATAACCGCGCCCGTATCACGCATGTAATTGCAATATTTCAGTCTCTTCTCGATACTTGTTTCGATAAAGGAGGCAAATGAAACGTTTAGTGTGCTTTTGAGTTAGAAATGGTCGAGGAAGGAAGCTATATTTATCTCCGAAGCATGTTCTTATTAAAATGCGTGGAAATGCACCTGGACGTGGTTGGCTAGCAGCAAGCCAGCAGGCTTGAATGAGCGGAAGTAAATTGCGGCTCCAGCAGCCACCCCGATCGACGACCTGAGGAAGAAGATGACAGCTTACCTCGAATTCTGTTCTTTGAAACGTGATCTGATTCTCTAAACTTTTTCTATTCAGTCTGTTTACGCCGAATGTTTCACTATTTTATTTCTCACCAGCACACTGGCGCGGCGCATGGCTCTCGAGTCTTCGAAATTAAGTTGCCAGACTTTGAGTCACAGTGGGTCTCTCAATGAATGCGGGAGAGAAATTTCATTTGTCTCTCCCACTCTGATTCAAAGTTGTGCATTGGCTTTGCTTTATCTTCGAATCAATGTACTCATCATTTTATACTATATTATTAAAGTATCAAAATTATACTCTTGAATAGTTCTTTTTAGAAATATACGTTGTAAAATATGTAAAATCTAAAAAGCAAGATGTTTAGTAAAATAGGGAATCTAATTCCAATTATAAGTCTAACTCTATTTTAAAGATATTTTTCTATTTTTACCAAATGAAATAATTGAGTAAGGTTTTTTCTCACGAATATTGGTAGGTAAAAGGCCTTAACCCTTGAGATAGAATCGTTTAAGATTATTGCCCAATTACCGTGATGGCGGTAGAAAGAAAAGGGGCGCGGTCTCATTATTCGCGTCCGGCCACACGACGACCTGGCATCAGTCTTTTCTAATGAAAAAGCGAGCATAGTCCTTTATATATATATATATATTGCTTATTCAAATCTTCTCAAATGGCACTGATTTTTTTATCTCCTCACGTTTCTCTTCTCGCCTTAGTAAGCTACCCTTCATTGAAAAAAATAAATTCGCATTCAGATTAAACTTTGCACTCTAAACAAACCAGTTTCAATTGCACAGCATCAGCATCAGCATCAGCAACTGCTGATCTTGCGAAAAACTCTTTTTCAATCATATTCTTTTGTAAAATAATTGAATAGAAAATTTTCTATTTAAAAATGTATTTTTCATATTCATTTTATATACTATAATCTTATTTTCTACAAAGTGCGCACTTAACTATGTGACCGTGGTTTTTTTTATGTTTATCAGACTAAAAGCAACAAATGATAATTGATATGGGTTTCCTGTTTTTGAATTGTGTCAAACTTTTTTTCTTCTTCATAATACACACTATATGTGCATGTACCCAATGGGAAATTTACAACTGGCGTAGTACTGCGCCAGCACTGGCAGCACTGGCGGCAAGGCTGAGAGCCAGCACTGGCATGGCACTGGGATGATAACGCCGTCTGGCGCTGCCGAAGTACTGTCTGTCAGTGCTGCCAGACAGCGCTGGCGCAGCACTGGACCAGTGCTGGCTGAGAATATTGCCGCAATAAATGCCGTATTGCTATTAATTAGTAGTAAATTAATAATTATAAATAATTTAACAACAAAATGGTAAATAATATTAATAAATAGTTATTATTCATACAATATTTCTCTTCTTAAAGAAATTGTATTAAAGATGGAGACTAACAATGGATATAGTAAATGAAGTAGAAAAAAATTGTTTATAACATTTAAAAATTAAATAATAAACAATTACAGTAAGTGTGCATTAGATTTTCATATTTTAGTACCTGACGATTGGAATCTAGAAATATCGCAAACCTATGAAAATAAACAAAATTGCTGACGAGGGGAATCGAACCTACGACCTACGGACTAACAGACTAACGCTCTAACCACTATGCTAACGACACATGTGTACAGTAAAATTTAAATATCTCAGTATCATTCAGACATACAATTATTGAGTCAAAGATGAGAAAAAAATAGGGATACGTTAGAAATAATAAATTGAAATAAAATAAATTAAACTAAATTTTTAATAATTAAATTAAATTACTTTACTTATTGCATTTAACATTTTACGTAATTCTTAAATTACGTGGTAATTTTTTAATAATTTTTTATTCATAGTAAGAAGTATAATAGTATTTTAATAGGAACCAAATTATTATTGAGATTAAAGTTTAAATTTTGTTTATAATTTTAATTTGTTTAAATAATTTATTATTTACAAAATTAGACAATTATGTTAAATTATTATTATTATTATTAAATTTAATAAAAATAAAAAATGAACAACTGAAAAGTAAAGTATTAATTTTTTTCAATAAATTTATATTTATAAACATTCATAAACTTTTTTTATAATTTTTTTCAAGTTTATGTCAAAAAAGCAATGTTGGCAGAGAGCGTTGTGAACAATTTTTCTATACTCAGCCAGCACTTGCCGCCGTGGCTTGTCCAAGCTTTGGCGAAACAAAAATTCTGTACTGCGCCAGCACTAGTTGTCGAGGCTCGGCTAGACTACGCCGAACAATCGTCTGAGTACTAAGCCAGTGGTGAACATCGGCACTACACTGGCATTTCCCATTGGGTAGATATAAATTTAAATGTTAGGTGTGTGCATAATTTATTGAAAGAATAATTTGATATCCTTATAGAAAAACTGTGAGTTTGTGAATTCAGTTAGCACGATTTTTACAAAATCTTCCCATGTTTGCTAATAATGGATTGAGTATTATGACAGTAGTAGTATTTCTAAAAGAAGTTGATAAATTTGATTTCGTTAAAGAAAGTGAATAAGTGATCCGTTTTATACGCGCTGACATGTTTTCACCGTTTTTCCTTTTGATTTTTTGTCCTATTGATTATCTTTGAAAATGAGGTTATCTTGGAATTAAGGGTAGCGCTGACGCCCTTGGAAAAAAAGTATCGATCGCAGAAACTTTGGAAAGGAACGTTCATTTATCAAACACATCAAAGTGGATATTGTGTCGAAGGGAAGTCATTTTACGTCGACATTAAGAGCCGGTGCGGTGTCAGGGTGAAAATCGCAGAAATAGATCCAATCTAGTTCATTGGTTGGTCGGCGGAAGTGTCATTTGGCCCCTTAGGTTGTAAAACGAGTGATAAGAGCTGCCTCGGAGGCTTGTGCTTATTCTTTCTCACCACTCTAAAATATTGACTAAACTTTCATTTATTTCGTTACTTGGATTAATTCAGTGAAAGAATTATTGTTTAATCTTTTGCCCTGCTTTAGAAAACTGTACATAGAAAATGATTTAAAAAATATGAACATACTCATTTCCGTTAGCGCACACTAGTGAATAATGTAAAATTAT